CATGCCCCGATCGATCGATCAAGCCTAGTAGTTCACGCTGCAAGACGTGTCCCATCTCTCTCTCTCTCTCTCTCTCTCTCTCTCTCTCTCTCTCTCTCTCTCTCTCTTTGTCTGTGTGTGTGTGTGTGTCTCTGTGGGTGTGTTCGTGTATGTGTCTGTGTAGTTATGTTGGCTATACATAACTCCATAAAAAGCACGACTAAGCCAAACTGTTTCGTCGCACTTCCACCGACTCATCAGGAGGTTGAACCCCGACAGTCTCACCATGTCGTGTGTGTGTGTGTGTGTGTGTGTGTGTGTGTGTGTGTGTGTGTGTGTGTGTGTGTTTGTGTGTGTGTGTATGTGCCAGAAACATGTGAAGTCGCAGTCGAGCATCGCAGTGTAGAGTGGAGTAGTAAAGTCGAAGTCCAGCGTAGAGTAGCATAGGGGTCAAAACGTGCGCGACGCCGTGCTTAGGATTTTCCCGTGCCGCCACCCAAAAGGGCAGCCTACGGGAACCACTTTGGCCGTTGGGAAGCCCGTGCACAGAAATGACCCGCTCCAACGGGCAAGCAAACCGGTTTTCGGCGAAAGGCCTCGATCGGGTCCTGCCTCATCAATCTGGGCCGTCGGGCCCAAGGTACCGGGCCAACGGCCTGGATTGACGCGTGATCTTAACATCTTAAGACCGCGCTCCAATCCGGCCTGTCGATCCGGCAGGACCTGACGGCCCGGATGACAGATTTGTTACATGATTCGGTCGATCTGGGTCGTGGGCCGGTAGGTTCAACGACGGCCCGAATGTTCGATTTGTCACGTTAGCGATTTTAATAGTGTAGGGAAATATCTGAAAATTTCTGATAATCGCATTTCGTTTTATCTGAAATTCCTGATAATAGCAATTGATTCTACCTGAAAAATTCCGATATTAGCATTTCGTTTTCACGCAACAAATATCCGAAATTTTTCTGAAAGTAGCATTTTGTTTCTGATATTTTGCATACATAGCCGAAAATTTCTGATATAAGCATTTCGTTTTCTAGGCCTATTAGGATAACGTTAGAGGTGGTCATATTCTCGGAAACCGGATTTATCCTTATCTGAAAATCGAATCTCCATTCTATCTCGCAAATTTTTTTTTGAAAACCGAAATCTTCCGAAGCCTATCAGCATTTCGTTTTAGGCATATTAAAGAGGTTGTCATATTCTCAGAAACAGGATTTAGTTCTTGTCTGAAAATCGCATCTCTACTCTATTTCGCAAATTTTTATTTTTTTTTAAAGATAGCATTTTGTGAAAGCCGAAACTTTGCGGCACCTGGCCTAGATCTCGCTCATAGTACTCTTCTGACATACCTCACTCATAGCAGATCGACAGACACACACACAAAAAAAAGGGGGGGTAATCTTCTTCTTTTATTTTTTATTTATTTTAGTCTGTTGATTAGGACCGGGAGGAAAGTATAGCTGGGTTGGTTACCTACCTGCGTTTTCCCTCCCACCCACCCCTTTGCATGCATTCCCGGGTTGGTACAGTGCCACGTCAGCAGTACCACGTCAGCAACAGTGCCGCGTCAGCAGTGCCACAGTGCCACATCAGCAGTGCCCCGCCACCATGACGGGCTCAGCTCTGGGCATGCCAGGCCAACTGGCCAACGAGTCCATTGCCGAGTATTGACAGCGTTTCGAAGCTCAGCTCGCACTAATCGAGGCTGAGGAAGAGCGCCAGCTGGCAGCCGAGGTTGTCCGCCTACAGGCTGAAGCAGCGACTTCAAGCCGAAGCTGAAGCAGATACCCAGGCACGCCACAAGGAGGCCCAGGATCTGCTACAGCGGCATGAAGCCACCAGCATAGAAAAGCTCAAGTTCTGGCACTTTGAACCATCCGAGGGGCGCGACGATGCGACACCGAAGGAGCAACACAAGGGATTCATGGCCAAACTCGTGACTTGGTTGGTTTACACTTGTAACCACCTGCAGTCCGAGCTTGCAAATCTGCAACGGGCCGTGCGGAACCACAAGGCTCAGCACGAGGATGCGACATGGGCACTTGATTCTCGTGTACAAGACTTGGAGCAAGTCGCACCAAGACCGGAGGCTGGCGAGACCAGCAGTGCACCCTCTCCCCCAACTGGAGGAACGCGTCGACCACGTAGTAGCAATGCTAGGTGACATCAGTACCTTTGCTGCACCAGCCACCATCAGCAAGCAGCTGGACACCTTGAAGACTGAGGTTCAGCAACTGCACCAGCTGCCTAACAAGGATGGCAACACCGCGCAGCATTACAAGATGTCGACATTCCAAATCGAGATGTTCGATAATTACACGCATCAAGACCCGGTCATCTGGTGGGAGGGCTTTACGACGCAACTTCGGATTTTGTTCGTCCCCAAGCACTCGTACATCGGTGCGCTGTTCCTCAACTCAAAGGGCGGATGCCAGATCTGGCTGAGCCACCTGGCAACCGTCCACGGCGTCGACGTCGCAGATCTGAAAGATAAGATCTCTTGGGAAGAGTTGACACGGCTATAGAAGAAGCGGTTCATCGTGGACGACGCCCCGACGCTCGCCATCAACCGCCTCTTCACTATGACGCAAGGCAACACATCGACACGCGACTGGCTCATGGAATGGCAAAAGATCGCGGCGACGCCGGATCTCGAATTGCCACTTTCGCACCAGCGCCGGGAGTTCTACAACCGGTCATGTGCCGCCTTGAGCCTTGCACTTGGTGATCGCGAGCAATACGCGACCTTCGCCGAAATCATCGACAAGGCAAGGGAGATCATCAAGACCAATAGGGCGGCTGGACACGAGAAGTTGGCATGGCAGCCAACCAATGTGGAGAGAGGAAAATTTGGTCTGCGTCCGCAGCATGTCGCTGCAGTCCACACGGACAACATTGTGGAAGACCCGGCAGCCACCCAAGCATCACGTGAGGGAGATCAGGTGGCTGTTGTCCAGCCACGAAGCAACAATAAGTCCCGAGGAAACGGGAAGGCGAAAACCGCATGCCCGATGGAAACGAACAGCCAGCACCATGGGTCAAGTTTCACTTGACCGAGGCGAAATACAAGTGGCGCGGCCGCTACGGCTGCTGCTATTGGTGCAACAGCACCAAGCACAAGACCTCCCAATGCCCGGATCAAGGCAAGGAGGATGTTCGGCTTCGCATCAACTCGGGAAACTGAGTTGCGCGGGAGGTGAGGCGACTCCACCTCTCACTCCGCCAGATTCAGCCGCCTTGCTAGCGGCCTCCTACACATCTGGGGAGGATGCGAATGTCGCAAGTCCTCGGTTCACTTACGAGGATCATGCTGTCCACTTGGTCCCACCATTGGACCAACCACTCCACGTGCAACAATCCACCGCATGCACGGTTTCACTACCATCGGCAACCGAGTCGGCAGCTTCGCCGCCATCTATAGCCGGGGATTCAACAACATGGTCAAGACTTGAAGAGCTCGACCCGTTGACGTTTGCGGACTTCCAATGGATGCCCCTTCCCCGGTCCGGTCGATTGCCGAAACCGCATTGCAACGTGCTCATGGCACAATTGCGGGATTACTTGCACACTGCAGCACCAACTCCGTTGATGGACGCCAAAGTAGAGGTTGTCGACCTTCACAATTACATTGCGAAGATCGACCGCGAGTTCAAGACACATGGGTACGACGACATCGACGCACCATTGTTATATGTACGCATTCAGATCGGAGAGGCGACCTGCAGCACTTTGATCGATTGCGAAGCATCTCGCAACTACATGAGCCAGGACTTTATGGTTCCCGTCGGCGTTGGCCCACGCATCCGGAGGAAGTCCCAGCTTACGCAAGTCACGTTGGCAGACGGTCACACGCACAAGTCAATCGACCGGTGCATAGATGACGTCCCCGTGTACTTTGCCCCGCATGCAGGTGAGGTGGTGTCCTTCGATATTTTGGACACCAAATTCGACATGATCTTGGGCATGTCATGGCTGCGAAGCGAGGATCACCCGGTGAACTTCTACCGCTGCACCATTCACGTTCGTGATCGGAACGGAGTACTACTCCCATGCACGGTGCCTCCTCCTCACCCTTTGATCAGCTGCCACATGGTGTTCGCCGCAAGCATGCGAGCTTCCATCATCAGAGACGACATCGAGGAGATGGGGATGTGTTTTCTCTACGCCCTCCCGCCCCATGACGCTTCATCGACGGACTCGTCTTCGGACCTACGCATCACTGAGCTTCTCGACGCCTACGGTGACGTGTTTGAAGGTCCGCACGAATAGTACCGAATCGGCCCATCCGCCACGAGATCATCCTCGAGGACAAGGTTGTACCTCCGCGTGGTTGCATCTACCGAATGAGCGAGGAAGAGCTAAGTGTGCTACGGGCACAACTCGACGACCTTCTTGAGAAAGGCTGCATTCGGCCTAGCTCCTCGCCATACGGTGCTCCCGTTCTCTTCATCCGAAGAAGAACAAGGATCTCCGGTTGTGCATCGATTATCGCAAGCTCAACGCGCAAACGGTCAAGAACGCCAACCCTCTTCTACGCATCGACGACCTCCTCGAACGGCTGGGCGGCGCCAAGTTCTTCTCCAAGCTAGACCTCAAATCGGGATATCACCAACTTGAGATCCGGCAGGAGGACCGCTACAAGACCGCATTTAAGACGAGATATGGGCATTTCAAATGGCTGGTTATGTCGTTTGGCCTTACGAATGCCCCAGCCACTTTCCAAACGGCTATGACAACGGAGTTCCGACACATGCAAGATCGATTCGAACTTATCTATCTCGACGACATTTTGGTGTACAGTCGAAGTTTGGACGAGCATGTGGAGCACCTGTGTTTTGGAGCGGCTACGACAAGCCAAGTACAAAGCCAACTGCGACAAATGTGAATTCGCGCGGCAGGAGCTGGAGTACTTGGGACATTATGTGACGCCGCAAGGCATCCGTCCGCTTGCGGAAAAGATCGAGGCCATCCGCGTATGGCCCGAGCTCACCAACACCACGGACGTCCGTTCATTCATGGGGTTGGCGGGCTACTCTCAGTGATTCATCTCCGGGTACTCAAGGATTGTTGCACCTATGACGAGATTACAATCGCCAAAGGTACCATTCGTACTCAATGACGACACACGCCGGTCATTCCAAGCACTCAAGACAACCATGCCCATGGTACCCGTCCTTAGCATCTACGACCCCACCCTGCCAACGAGAGTGACAACCGACGCTTCCGGCTATGGCATTGGGGCGGTCTTGGAACAACATGATGGGACGATTGGCACCCTGTGGAGTATTTCAGCCACAAAGTGCCTCCCATCAACTCGCTTGATGGTGCAAGGAAGAAGGAGCTGCTCGCGTTCGTGATGGCTCTCAAGCGATGGCGACACTTCCTCTTTGGGCGTCGTAGGTTCACATGGGTCACGGGCAACAACCCATTGACCTACTACAAGACGCAGGATACGGTGAGCAGCACGATCGGACGATGGATGTACTTCATCAACCAATTTGACTTCACACCGAAACATCTCCCCGACCTCTCCAATCGCGCAGCAGATGCACTCTCGCGAAGACCTGATCTTCACGCTATGACACATCATGCTTTCGCATTTGACGAGGAACTCCAGCGACACTTCATCCGGGGCTATGAGTCTGATCCGGACTTCGCCACGTTGTATGTGCAACTATCTTCGGATCACCCGCCGGCCAGCCACTATCGCATTGTTGACGGGTACTTGCTCCTCCACTCGAGAGGCAAGGACTTATTGTGTGTCCCATGAGACCGTCCTTTTCAGACTCGCCTTCTCGGGGAGTACCATGACGCGGGACTCGCCGGCCATTCCGGAGTCAACCACACTATTGCCCGACTTCGACAACGATTCCGATGGCCCGACCTCATTACCGATGTCACTCGGTATTGCGACTCTTGCGAAGTTTGCCGACAAAGCAAGCCCCGCAATCACAACCCCTACGGGGAGTTGCACCCGATGCCTATCCCACGGGAACCTGGCCTCTACATTGCCATGGATGTCACCGGACCATTTCCCTGCGATCGCCTCGGGCACGACGGCATCCTCACGGTCGTCGACCGTTTGAGTAAGTACGCGCGTTTTCTCCCTTGCAAGTACTACTCCACGGCTCCCGAGCTGGCACGCCTCTTGCACACCGGCTGGATTTGCGGCCACGGTGTACCGGAAGACAGTGTCAGCGACCGCGACACTCGCTTCATGTCGGCATTTTGGACTGCTCTCATGCAGGAGTCCGACACGAAGATGAAACCAAGTTCGGCTCGGCATCCACAGACGAACGGGCAAACGGAACGGGCACATCAAACCGCTCAAATGATGCTTCGTACGCTCATCCGTCCGGACCAGAAAGATTGGGTTGACCGCCTCCCCGACATCGAGTTCGCCTACAACACTTCGGTGCACCCGGCGATCGGCGTGACTCCATTCGAGTTGCACCACGGTGGACGGAAAGGCCGTATCTTCGCCGACCTTCTCCTCCCACGACCAGCTGACATCGACGTCGCTTGCTCTCCCGCTTCCGTCCGGAAGTACAGGGAAGTGCTGGCTCAAGCCCGTGCAAACATGCAAAAGGCTCAAGTCCGCATGCAGCAGCAAGCCAACAGGCACCGCGTGCCATGTCCTGTCCGCGCCGACGATCTGGTTTGGGTCTCCGCGGAAGAGTTTGCACTGGAACAGGATGTTTCACACAAACTGCTTCCCAAGTGGTTTGGACCATGGCCCGTAACATCAGCCGCGGACGATGAGCCCAATGGCCCTTCATTTGTGATCAACATCCCCCCGCATCTGAAGGTCCATCCAGTCTTTCATGTCTCGAAGTTGGCGACATACACACCAGCTAAGAGCGACGACTTCCCGGGCAAACGATCGCAGGACCCTCCTATGGATGGTCATCAGGAAGTTGACCGCGTCATCACCGATCGCAAGTACGGCAGCAAGCCTCGACAGACCAAGGTCACATTCAAATCATGCGATCGCGACGACACTCGGTGGATTTCAGGAGCAGATTTGAAAGCATCCGCACCGCTGATCTACGCTCATTACGAGAAGCAAAGGTTAGCTCAGGGAACTTCACGACCTGCCCCTCCCACCCGGACTGTGGTCCCTCCCTCAGATAGACAGCTTCGCCCTCGCAGGTAAGCTCGGTCTTTCAAGGAGGGGGGAGTGTGGCATATTGTGTAGCCACACCGGCCTGCAGGGCCCGTTCCGCATTCTCAGACTAAAAGCCTAGAAATAATGACTTACAGGCCCCATGTCGTTTCAGCCTGGAAACTGAAAACGAGGGTCTGCAAGCCCTATTTCCTTTTCAGCCTATAACAGGGCCGTTCAGGCCTTGAGTCTTTCAAGCCTGAAACGGAGGGCCACTTTCGGGCCCTCATAAGATCGTCCTGCCCTAGAACTCAGGCAACAAACCAGGGTTTTGGGACCAGGCTATTTTTGGCCTGTTCCCCACGCCAACCTCAACAGGAGCTGCAGCGCCAGCCCATGGCTTGCCCTGGCATTGGCAAGAGCAGCCTCCTGGACTGCCTCGCCCTGCAGCTGCAGGCAGTCAAGAGGCAGGCCGAGTAGTACATAGGGAGTTCCCATGCACTTCACGGGTAGGTAGTTGGACAGAACGCAGGAGGCAGTCTTCAGGATTCGACAGCAGCACTCTGGAGGAGCGCTGCAGGAGTAGCTTAGCGCTAGCAGTAGTCTTCAGCGTTGGGCGCTAGTAGCTGCAGGAGTAGTCTTCAACATAGGGCGCTAAGTAGTGGTAGTGGTAGTAGTGTTGGAGAGAGATGGCTGGAGGAGGCCAGTGAGACTTACCTGTGGTGCCATAGCTCCAGCTCCATCTTCGAGGTACCTGCATCAAGGCGCCAGCTTCACAGATTAGTATCAGACAGAGAGAGAGAGAGAGAGAGAGAGAGAGAGAGAGAGAGAGAGAGAGAGAGAGAG